TAGNATTATTGAAAAATATGCAAACTCCTAGCCCCTAGCCCTAACCCTACTGGGTTATGAGGAATGATACGGAGGCTACAAATGCATAGGCAACGACTATATAGTGACCTCCAAAACGAAATTTTAATGAACAACCAAATTAAGGCATTCAATTTTTCAAAAACCATGGACATCAATAATGAGTTCAATTTTTTAATGAGCGTTATACAGGAATACTGGTTTTCTRTTTAAGAAAGAAAAATTGAATATGAACAAGATAACTGATGATTTTCCTAGTAAAAAAGCAATAAAAAAATCCTTGATTTAAATATTTATTTATTCTAAATTTTAATTTATACATGTAAGATTTACAAAAACTCTATAATAAACCGAACATCTGCAAATTTCTTAGTAGCAAAAGACTAGAATGGGCTGGACATGTGTGGCGTGCAGAAGGATGCCTTATAAGAAATGTGCTCGACGGAAAGCTGAATGGAAAAARACCCATAGGGATACCACGGCAAAGATGGTTCGATACAGTCAAGAAAGATTTGACACGAGTGGACCCTACTTATAACATCAATTTGGCAGTGGATAGAATGCATTGGAGAGGTATTGTAGAAGCGGCATTAGACCTAAATGATCTGTTTTAAGCCTAAGAAGAAGAAGAAGAAGAAGAAGAAGAAGAAGACATGTAACCTAAACTATTACAAAAATTGAAAATATGCTGATTTTTAATAACATGGTTTTAAAAAACAATTAAATAAAGTGACTACAAGGTTATAAGGCGTACCTAATAGTTACCTATTTTTCATACATTTATTACTTGTACCTATACTGTTGTCTGTTTCCTTTCTGAGTCTTTTTTGACRATTATTCCTGTATACACTTGAAATTTTCAATATTTTGGTTTAATCGGTCTATAATTTACACTACCTTGGAAACATATTTCAAAATAAAAACTAGATGTTTAGTTTGTGTATTTTGTTTGTTTTGGCACTAATTAGTTTGTTTTTTATAATATCTAGT